CACCCAAACTCTTGAAAGAGAATCAATTGGAGCAATTTATATATAAAGAAAATTCAGCATGTGTCTTTGATGAAATTTAAAAGAAAAACATATTAAATGTTGTAATGGAGTGTCACATTCCGACACGATATGTGGGATCAGAGTGTCACGTTCCGACACAATAACATTAAAGGAAAGAAATCTTGAAGTAATATACTTATTCTCAAAGAACCTGTTTTCCAAATGAGTATGGTGTGGAGGCATAAGTACTCATAGGTGTGCTTGATGTTGTGATTGATGGTGTACCTATTATGATGTTGTTGTCAATGGTTCATGTGTTTGTTGCTTGCCACCTGTTAAGTATTGTAGTTGATTTTATGATATTATTCAATATATATTGGTTTCTATTTTGAGTTGGCTGATGATACCTACTCAGGACGTTTCCTTGTACTGACCCCTACTTGTATTTCTTCTCTGTTCTTTTGTGGAGTGCAGCAAGTGTACCATCAACTTCGACTCGCCCTCAGCTCTAGCCAGTCTCTAGCACATTAGAGTTCAGGGTGAGCTATTAATTCTAGCACGTGCTGGATTCTCTTATTCACGTCTTGATGTCTTTGAATTTTGGACATGAACCATCTTATTGCTTATTTTGGTTTCTTAAACACTCTTAGACTTGGTAATTTGGAAATAGATGTCCTTGATGTGATGACTATCTGATTTTGGGATGATAAGTATTAAACTTTAGAAACTTATTTAAATTGGTTGCTTAGCATCTTTTGGAGCTTTCGCATTATTTATATTATTTATAGTTGAAATGTTGGTATATGTTGAGGTGTAGATGTGTTGGTTCGCTCACCTAAGGAGGTAAGTGTGGGTGCCACTCACGAATCATTTTGGGTTGTGACACAATCACCATTTTCACTATAGGTGAAATTGTTTCTTGATAATTAATCCCCCCTCAGTTTGACTATAACCTTTTGCTACTAATCTTGCTTTCTATCAATCTCATCATCAACCTTATACTTAATTTTAAACACCCATTTTCATCTGTAGAAGCCTTTATTGTTCTCAACTGAACTACCTCGCAAGTACCATTTTCTTCTAATGTTTGAATCTATATCAACCTTGTGTCTTTTACTGTTTCTTCATAGTTTCTAGGTTCAGTCTCTTTGGAAAACTGAGACAAATAAACCTTATATTGAGGAAAGACACTATCATAAGACAGATAGTTGCTCTGAGAGTAAGGATGAGATGACTTAGAACCTTGAGTAACATAGTCTTTCATCCAAATGGGGGGATGAGAAACACTGGATCACTGTCTACTTCCTACTGCCTAGGCTCTTCCATCAACATCTACACTAACCTCATTGTCTGTATTTTCTTTAGCTATACTTTGTTGATCATGGGTAATATTTTCCACATAAGAATAAACATTCATTCAGATCTACTAAGTTATCTTCTATGGGCATATGTGTCTGATGAAGTTCATCATAAATCATAGATGGTTGTGTGTTGTTCATCTTCTAAAAGGTAAAAACATCTTTCATGAAAACAACATCTATATTCACCAAGAGTTTTTACTGAGACAAACTGTATATCACATAACCCTTTTAAGTTGCTGAGTATCTCATTATACACTTTCGCCATCTCTAGGAGTGAACTTATCAGGCTTAACCATTCTAGTTGCATAGCATAGACATTCTATTGTCATGATATGACGTATATTTGCCTTATGGCCATTGAAAAAGAGTTTGCCCCTTAAAAACTTCAGTAGGTAATATGTGAATCAGATAATCAACAACTAATACACACTCTCCCTAAAATCTGATGGGAATAACACATTTAAATCTTAGTGCCTTGCTACTCAAGTATGTGTTTGTGCTTTCTCTCCACCATTACATTTTGTTGTGGAGTGTGAGGAAAACTACTTTTATGAATGATACCAAGAAACTTAAACAAAGTATTGCATTCAGTATTAAAGAACTTTGTGCCATTATATTATCTTATCTCTTTGATATTCTTATTAAACTGAGTTTGAACTAAAGCAAAGAGACTTTAGAACTAGGAAGACATCACTCTTCATTCTCAAAAAATACAACTAGGTCATTGTTGAATTATATTCAACAATTGTCAGGAACAATCTACAACCATTATGAGTATCGGTCCTATATGGTCCCCAAACATCTGAGTGAAGCAAGTTAAAAATCCTCAACAACTCTAGATATACTTGTGTGGAAAGTCAATCTTGTTTACTTGGAAATGGGACATATTGAACATTTATTACATACAGTAATGTATATATTCTCTTTTCCTTGAGTTTCATATTTCAAGACCTTTATTGAAGGGTGTCCTAGCCTTTACTGCCAAAATAACTTGTATGCATCTGAGTGTTGTGTGAGGGACACCATCTCGACACCATCTCATCAGTCCTTCCTTATCCACATGGTTGTAGTAGAGTTCAACAATCTCCTTACCAATCCCTTTCACTTTCTCATTGGAGAGGTCTCAAAGAACAAAAAACTCAGGAAGGAAGTTAACTGAGAATTTCTATTTTCTTGTAATCTATGATACTGTAATAAGATCATGCTTGAGTGCATGTACCACCAAAACATTATTCAACACATTGAAATCAATAATTTTACATTTACCAACAGAAGACACTGAAGTATATTTAACATTAGGTAAATGCACCCTCTTACCTAGACAACTAAATGCAGATGTCCATTTATTGTGCTTAGATGTCATATGGCATGTAACATCTGAATCCATTATCCATCTCTCCATTTTCTTTGTCTCTAGTTGTCACTAATAATGCTTTGGGTTTTGAAATTATACTTGCCATGTTTTCCATATCCATTTTACCTTTGGAGCTTGATCCTACTTTCTCTTTGTCCATCATGTGTTTATTCTTGTGATATATGTTTTTTTTTGGAGTAAAGGTCCAAATACATCATCTAAATCATCATATCTGGTAGCATTTGCATGATTTTCCATGTCTTGTTGCTGATTTTCTGATTTTGATTTGCTGGTTGTTTTGAAATTTTCTAGAACTTTTAGTCAACAGGGTGTCCAATAACCTGAAACAATTTACCGGTGTCCAATAACCTGAAACAATTTACCTTGATGTGGTCTTTCAATTTACACTGATCACATATTTGATCCCAATTATTCTTTTTATCCTAAAATTTCCTCTGAGAATTCCCTTTCTATGCATATAATGTAGTTGGATCTAGAATTTTGTTCCCTGCATACAGAGCAGTTGGATATGAAACAGCCCCACTACATATGAACTTGCAGTCATACGTTGGCCTTCATCTGCCATCAACGTATCATATGCCTTTCCAACAATAGGTAGAGGGTTCATCATCAGGATTTAACTTCGTGCATGACCATACACTTCATTCAATCCCATCAAAAAAGAAAATATCTTCAAACAAGCTAGGTTATCAACATAAGTTCTTCATTTATCACATTTGAGTGAAGGTGGATAAACTAGTACGTCAAAATCATCCGTCAACAACCATAATGTCGAGAAATATGTTGAAATTGTCAAATTACCTTGATGAATCATGCAGATTTCCCTGTGCAGTTTATATCCGTGAACCTTATCAAATCTCTCTTTCAGATTTGTCCAGACGATGGTTGCATTTGTAGGATAAACAAACTGACCGAGCAGCTTCGTCAACACAACGTTCATGATTCAAGAAGGTACAAATGCATTGCATTTCTCCCATTGCTCTTATTGTTCACATTGATAAGCACTCTTCTTGCAAGTCCCCAACACAAACCCCAACTTATTCTTGGCTCGCAGGTTCATCAACATGAATCTGCTCCATAAAGTAATTCCACATCACCGTAAGTTGCACAGTGATGAGCAACTCTATTAAGAGTGTCTAAAAAGTGAAAATGAAGTGGACATTTTAACTTTTGATCAACATCATCAATAGTTTCAATTGTAAATGTTTGTGATGCATCAATGGTGGAAGCTTCAGCATCTCCCATCTCTCAACTTCATCAATGGTCGTATTGAACTGATCAATAGTTTAGAGCTCTTATACCATGTAGATTTTACAAGGGAGATTTAGATGGAAACTGAAATAGTCATTCATCACAATACTGTATATCAGCTAAATTACATGTATGTATATACAAGTTTTAGATCCAACTGATCACTGACAAGTTTAACTAACTATTTTACAATCTAACAAACTTATTGGCCAACTTAAAATAAAGATAATTACCTTGACTAACTAAATGAATTTATTAACTGATCAATTAACCAATTCAAATATACATAAGTGAAAAAGTATATTTCTTTGAGAAAAGAGAGATTTTTTTCTGTCTTGTCATCAATTTAAATTTATTTTTCTTATAAATCGCTGCCAAGGCATTGATTTTTTTTTAAAAAAATTATAATAAAACAGTTGCTGATTTTTTAACAAAAATCTCTGCTTGGGGAGTTTTTTTCAAGAAATATATAAGGAAGAAAAAAAGAAAACCAAGTTTTGGATACAATCGTTGCTATGGAAGAGACTTTTATATTTAACAGAGTAACAACATCAATATTATGTCAGAAGAAAATTGTTTAGTCAGAGCAATTTTCCCTATTATTTTTAAAAAAATAAAATTAATGTGCCCTTTTAAAATTTTTGGCAATTGTTTCTTGCACTTTGGATCTTGATTCCTATACGAAAGTAATCAAAATCTTATGTTGGAATCATTTACTCTAAGAAATTAACTACTACAAATTGAAGAACTATATAGGAAAATTTGTGAAAGGAATAAGTTTTTTTTTGTTGTAGCTGCAACATTTTATTCATGACTTTTCATGTATAACTAGAAATTTTTTGAAGAGAAAGTATTTTAGTCTGTCCAAACCCCAAAGGTTTGATGTGGCGTTGTTTATATAAGGGTAAATCGTCTCCTTCTAGTGCTATAATGCAATTTAAAAAAAAATATTTTGGTCGGGAGACTTTTCTTGAAAAAATTGTGGTCCATACAACTAAAAATGGCCCATGGGCCAATCATATCAAAAATACAAAATACCTAATTTGGTCTGGACTCTATTCATCCTTGATGAGTACACAATACTCTTTCCTCCACCTTCTCCACTTCATTGTCGAAGAAAATTCCAGTTGTTTGCCTCCTCCTTTGAATCATTTTTGATCTCGAGTGGTCTTCACTATTACTTGGTAAGTCCGCTTCCTTTATACCTCATTTTCTTCTTCTCAACTCCCCCCATGATCTTTGAATGATATCCCTTTATTTTGTTCTTTTCCTCAGATGTAGATTTGGTGATGTACTTTCCCTTGAAACATTCTAAAACTTCATCGGTAGTGTCCGATCCACCTGTCTCTGTGTTTATTTTATGTAACTTTGTGGTAGCTAGGGTAGAGTATAACATTTATGTCTTGACCTACACCCTTAACACTTAGATTATGTATTATATTATTATTAATATTATGTAGATTCTCTCAATATCTGCAGTAGTCATATGCTTTCTTTTCCTATCAAGATATGCTTTAGGTATGTTCCTTGTTCTGTTTCTCAATGTTGGTACTTCTAATTTGTCTATATTTATCTGTGTCATGATATTTCTTAGTAAATCATCAAAATTGTTTTACTCCTTTCTTTGTTGTGTTTCCACTACTTCATTAGACAATTAGTCTGCAACATTATTGCTTTCTATGAAAATATGAGTGATGTTTACATTTAATTGTTCTGATCTCATCCTTATATTATCTCCTCTTTCCGCCAACTCCCAAGGTATCTTCCACTGCCCTCTTATCATTTTTATCAGACTTAGTGTGTCTATTTTGATTGTTAGTGATATCACCCTGTTCTCCCAATAATACTCCAATGCTTCATAGATTGCCACTGACTATATCTCTGTGTTAGTATGATTTCCAACTTCTGCTGACCTTGCATAAATCAAACTTCCTTGTGAGTTCCTTAGGCAAAAGCCATATGCACTCAGCACTAGGTTCCCTTTGGATACTCCATTAGTGTTGCATCCCAATCTGTGTGTATCTGGGGTTTTCCATATTACACTATGATAATGTAATTTAGGCTTGTACCACTTATGTTTTTTGACAATTTCAAGACACAAACTTGAGTCCAAATGTATCCAAGGATATAGTGTTTTCACCAACTTCCTAACCATTTCTTGAACTTGCATCACAATCCCTCAAAAAGTAGTGTTTTCTCCATGCTTTCTACTATTTTTTCTCTTCCAAATTGTTCATATGATTATTGTTGGCATTTCTATCATTACTTCTTATAGTTATGGTGATGATTTGAATTTCCACCAAAAAATGATTAATTGTTGTAAATACATTCCTTCTATTTGTGTACCTGCAAATCAACAAATTTTCTCCATTGCTTGTTTTCCAACGAGGCTTTTAGAAAAATATGGGTTGTTGTTTCCTTCTTCTTTTCATCACAACACAACCATATTGAAACTAGATGAATCTTCACCTTTTTTAAATTATCATATTGTAGGAATTCTTATTTTCCAAAACCTCCATAGGAAGAAATTCACCTTAAAAGGAACTCACTTGTTCCAAATATAAACACAGTCGGCTCTTATCTCCTACTTCTTTGTCATAGTTTGCCAAACTGATTTTATACTGAAAGAGGTTTAACTGGAATTTTTACACTTTATTTTTCTCCAAGACATGATTCCCAAAAAGATTTTATAATCGTTACATATCACCTTTTAACCCTCTTCTTATGATCTTTCTAATTCACTGGATTCCCTCTCTCCTCTCTTTCCCCCCTTCTCCTCCCCCATCGAGATGGAGGACTATCTATTTTGTAGTTGTATTCATGTGTATTGACATTACCCGGTCATGAAATTTTTTTTTCTCCAAGAAATGATTCCCAAAAGATTCTATAACCATTACAGATACCCTTTAACCCTCTCCTTATGATCCTTCTAATCACCGGATTCCCTCTCTCCTCTCTTCTGCCCCCCTCTCCTCCCCCATCGAGATGGAGGACTATTTGTAGTTTTATTCAAGTCTATTGACATTAATATGTCATGATACTTGTATGATTGGATCGGAAGATGTAGAAATAGCGTCATTGGAACATCTTTCACTAGGAAGATAAAGTATTGGATTATCTAGACTCTCTTTGAAGTTTCTAAGACTAATGAGAATGTAGTCAAAAGGTGGAAGAAGAAGTAAACGCTGTCAGAAACCTTTCCTAGGAACTTCTTACAATTTCGACAGATACATATGTCTCATTAATGTAAGGGGCAAGTAGATAAAACATCATCATCCCTGAACTGACCTTCAACTCTGGTTGGGCCTTCATTGCTGAGAAAATGAGGAATTTCATTGCCAAACAAAAGAGGGAGACCAGTAGGCACAACCACAGATTAATAGACAACAAACTCTTCTTTCGCTGAAGCAGTCAAAAACAATAAATGGTGCAACGGGGCATAAAATAATTCAATGGAATTTCAAGCACTAAAGAGTGGGAATGTCATATGCAATAATGGTTTCTCGTCGCCAAAATAAGGGATTAAAGAGGAGTTTGGTTGGTACTATCGAAGATGGGTCAAATCTCTCACCTGCATTATCACAAATACGTAGATGGACCAATAACCTATGTCAATAAGTGCTCGACCTCAACAAATACGAAATAGGAATGGGCCTCTTTCTTTATGAGTTTATCTCTAGGCTTACAACAAAGCAATTACCTTGTAGCAGTTAGTTGTGGAACCAAAAACCACTCACGCTTTACTGGTGGAACCCATTGGCGGGCTCTTCCAAATAAATAAAAAAAACAAGTTCCGCTTATATTAGGATCGTGGAAATCCCTCTTTACCTATGGGCCTATAAAACCATTAAGTCCATAGAAGACCATTATTGTGTATGGATTGATACTGAGGAATATACGTCCATCTAGAGCAATATCGAATGGGAGAGAATCAGAATCAAAGGATATAGAAGGAAGATCCTGAAGGAGTATCCACAAAAAATAGTGGAATCACCTTCTCCATGCAAATCTTTAACGAGCTTCTAGCTATGACAGTTATCGGAGCTAAAAGAATTTTGAATCCCATTATCCAACAGTCACTGAATTTTCACCCAGTGGATAAAAATACTTGCATTCTTCACCTGGACAGTCACCAGTGATAGCACATGGAATGTTGAGTATGAGACAATGTCAACAATGCCAATGTTGAGTCATATGTGATAGTGATAAAACATGCTAATGCTGAGTTACATTGGACAACTTCCATAGAAAATTTAAATCTTTCGAGCCGGGTTAAATTTAATTCTAGAGACCCAACTAAATCAAGACCAAAACTTATTTATGATATCTTGAGCCCAGCTATAACTCAATTTCAGATGAAGAGCTCTTCTAATACTCATAACGAACTGGAGAACATTCGAGCTCTTGTCTCAAAATTACTAGAAACATATATGACTTTGGAAGCTTGCTTTGTAGACTCATGCAATATAGATAAATCAATTAAAGTGACATCGAAAGGGACCTTGACCATGAAACTTAAGATTACCCCTCAGTCAGGCGAAGAGACTGAGATTAATAACCGTTCCAAATATATAATAGAAGGGACAACCTTGCATGCATCCATACCAAATGAGTGCAACTGCATTCCATACATGACATCCAATCGGTTACCACCTAATCTCCTGCATCCCTAAAGGACGCTAAGATAGATGTTTCAGACTGGGTAAGTTCTCACATTCTTAATTTAAGAAATACTTATGGGGTAACTTTTGAAGGTTTTGAAGAGGAAAGTCTAGCTATTTTCATAAAACTAGATAAAAGAAAAGCGGTGCTAAAGAAGAAAGCACAGGAAAATATAATCACCACCCCAAAAAGTAAGAGACTCACCAAGAATGAATTGAAGAATTTACAATCCAATCTCAACCAAGTAGAAGTGGTCAGAACTAGGGGGAAAACACTCCGTCTCATTTACAAATGAATGTAAACCTAATTTCATGGAATGTGTGGGACTCAACACAATAGAAAATAGGAATATTGTTAAGTGTTTACTTCAAAATAGAAGGTTGATGTCTATTGTCTCCAATAAAAAATGTTAAGACGAGAAGTTAAAGAAGCAACCAAATAACTATGGCCATGTAGATAGATGAAATGTGATTTCATCAAAGTTGTGGGGAGTAGTGGGGGATCCTAATATTGTGGGACAACAGAGTAAGGTCAAAGATAATGGTGTGAATAGAGCGACACTCTATCATCAATGGATTTGTCCATTCTCACAACTCTTTTACGTGGTACCTCACCGGTGTCTATGCTCCACCTATTAAGTGAAAAGTTATAATGTTGGGAGGAAATTGCAGCTTGCAAACAACTTTGTGAAAGTGCTTGGGTAACTTGTGGTGATTTCAATACACATAGATTTATGTTAGAAATAAAAGGAGCTTCACAATCACTAGTGTGTTGTCTTGCTTTTCTAGATGGATCGAGGACATGGAACTTCATGAACCCCATCTAATTGGGGGTAATTTTACCTGCCTTAGAGGCATCAACCATCCTAGTGCAGCTAGACTAGACATGTTCCTGTTCTTCTCAGGATGGGAAGGAACTTTCAAAAATATCAGACAAAGGATTTTGCCTAGAGCTACTTCAGACCATAACCCCATTGTGCTAGAATGTGGAAACTGGGAGAAAGCAAAATTAAGTTTCAATTTCAAAAATTGGTGACTCAATAAAAAGGGTTTCAGCGGGTTGGTAAACACCTAGTGGAATGACTATGTAGTAGAAGGATGTCCCGACCTTAGGTTCAATAGAAAGTTAAAAATGTTGAAATTCAACGAGTGGAGTAGAACTACATTTGGAGAATAAGCCAACAAGAAGAAAAAAATACTTTAAGAATTCATTGTCATTGTCTTAACTAAGGAAAGTAGATACCTGACTAAAAATTGAATAATGATTAGACAAGATGAATTTTTATGGAGACAGAAATGAAGCGTACTATGACTAAAAAGGGTGATAACAACACAAAGTTCTTCCAAAGAATGGAAACAACACATAATATATTTAACACCATTGATAGAATGATAGTGAATGGTGAAGAAACTCGGGAACCTACAGTGATAAAAGAAGACATTATAGATTTCTACAAAAAAAATTGTACTTAGAAGCTGAACCTTGGAGGCTTACTTTCAAATTACAAGGTCGTCCCAGAATCACAAATGAAGAGAATGAATTGTTCTAAAGACCCTTCTCAGAATTATAAGTAATACACATAATCAAGAGTTGTAATGGGAAAAAATCCCTTAAGCCTGATTGTTTCACCGTGAGTTTTTTTTATGTTTGTTGGGACGTTAGAAAGGCAGATTTGATGCAGACCATCCATAACTTCCACTAGAAGGAATTGTTTGAGAAGTCTAGCATAATGGTTTCATCATGAATTGTTTTTGAAGTTCACTAGGACACTATAAAGGTAAATTTCATGCAGACCATCCACAAATTTCACAAGAAGGAATTGTTTGAGAAACTTATCACTGCAACCTTTATAGCCTTACTTCCAACAAAGGTAAATGCCAAAGAATTAAAAGACTCCATACCTATAATATTAATATAATGGACTAATAAGCTCATCTCAAAACTTTTATAGACTAAAGTCTGCATGGTAAAATTGGTGGATGAGCATTAATGACCTTTTTGAAAGGGAGACAAATAATGGATTCATTACTTGTGGCAAATGAACTGGTAGATTCAAGAGTGAAGTGTAAAGGCGTTTAATAATGTCAACTGTACCTACCTTCTTAGGATCTTCAAAGATATGGTCTTTGGCAAAAAAAGGGTAAGGATTAAATTTTCCATATCTAGTGTGAGTTTCTCCCTAATGTTAAGTGGTGACGTTGTAGGTTATTTCAATCACAGAGGGGTCTTAGGAAAGATGACCTCCTCTCATCCTTCCTTTTCTTACTACTTATTGAGGGTCTCAATCATATATTTAGAAAAGCAAACGAAAATGGTTGGTTGAGAGGTTTTGGAGCTCATATAAGTAGAGCAAATGGTATGAGAATTTCCCACTTACTGTAATGTCGATGGCTCACTTATAGTATGTGAAGAAGGAGTGTTACAAATCAGACACCACAAGGCTATTCTAAAAATTTATAAAGGAATTTCCGGACTCAATGTAAATTGTCACAAAAGCTTCCTCTAGCAAGTCAAGAAAGTCCCGAATATACAGTTTTTGGCCATGAATCATGGTGGCAATGTTGCTCCCCTCCCACAAATTATCTAGGAATGTTACTTGGAGCCAAAAATATGGAACTCAAAGTATATACCACAATATAAACATGTAACAAGAGTCTATCATGATGGAAAAGTCAATATTTATTTTTTGTGAGGCAGACTGACACTCATAAATCAGTCATTGATGCACTGCCCGTCCTACTCATAAATTAGTCATGGATGCACTTCCCACCTATAGGACGAGTTTGTTTTCCATCCAAAAGAGTATTCTATTGAAAAGTAGATCAACCAAATGAGAAGGAGATTCTTATTGCAGGGGAACAAAGATAATAGAGGCTACACTCTAGTGAGACAAGGAAGTTTATGCATCAAGATACTCGACCTCCACAATAATTGTCTATTGCATAAGTGGTTGTGGAAATTTAGCATAGAAGACATTCCCTTATGGAAGAAACTCATCAGAGAGAAATATGGACTCCTAAACCAATGGAAAACGGAAGAAGTGGTAGGTACTTTTGCATGAAGTGTATCGAAAACATTCGAAGACTCCGGCCCCAATTCAGTACCAACATTTACTTTAAGATGAGGAATGGTACGAAGATATAGTTATGCAATGAGCAGTGGATAGGTGATAAAATCTTAAAGACCACCTTCCCAGATCTTTACAACCTCAGTCTCCACAGAAATGCCACTGTTGCTTAAGAATGGAGCCCACAAGGGTGAAATTTCATATTTTGAAGAAATTTAAATGACTGAAAAGTAGACAAAATAGCTATTCTTTGATCCTTTTCTGGGTATCTCGATAAATCCAGGCAAAGTTCTATTGAAGTTGCATAGTAGAGGAGTATTCTCTGACAAATCATGCTAGTAGAACAACATCAACTTCTCCTCCACTAGGATTTAGCCTTAGAAACTAATCTGGAAAATTAAAATCCCCTTGAAGGTGCCCTATTTTATGTAGATGGTGATTAGGATAGCTTTCCTAACCCACGAAGCAATACAGAGAAGAGGGTTTGTAGATTTGCTAAAGGTGTTTTTCTTTATGACAAGAAAGCAGAGGGAAACAACCACCTCTTCCTACATTGCAAAACAACTGTTGTGGAACATGTTATTATGTAAACTTGGAGTAAGATGGACAATTCCTATGAACACTTTTGATCTACTGAGGAGTTGGGAGACTATTGGAAGAAGAAATTCTAGGGGAGACTGGTGAAAGCTAATTCCAACATGCATTTGTGAACCTTATGGAAGGAAGAAATGTCAGGCGTTTTGAAGGCAAAATCAACAAGATCCAGAGGATTAGAATGAACTACATTAGCGTTACTTATTAAGGGGTAAAAATGATATGGTGGGGGGTATAAATCTTTTAGTTGACTTTATAGGAAAATTGTAAACCATTAACCCTGGTTTGTTTCTTTTTGCAATAACATGGAGGGTTGTAACTAATAATTTTCTTGTGAATACAAAGTTACCTTTATTAATTAAAAAAAAGTGAAATCCCCCTGCTTAGCTGGAATTTTCTCTGCTTTATTTTGCCACCATATATATATCGTGTGCTGTACGTCCTCCCTTACAATTATCATCTTTCTCCACACATGTGAGTCACCCCTTCCTGTAGTTATATTTTGATGCAATTTCTTGAAATACTTGTTCCACATATAGCCACTCCACAAAAAAGAAATTAATGTTCTGAAATTTCACTGAATCTTTGCAAAAAAAGTCTTTGATACATTATGCAATGACCTGAAACCTAGACACCCTTGTTCCTTGGGATAACACATGTGTCCCCATGAAACCCGGTGCTTGTTCTTATATCCAGTTGCATTTCCCCAGAAAAAATTAGCAAATATCTTATGTAATTGGTTTATTACACTACATGAGGATTCATGGCTGATAGTAAATACATGGGCATATATTACAAAATACGTGCTTCTAAAATATACCTTCCCCTCATAAGATAGTAATGTATTCTGCCATATAGCCTTTCCCTTAGCCACCTTTTTAATCAGAACTTCAAAATGACCTTTATTTTTCCTTTCATAGAAAATAGGAAAATCCAGATAAGTAAAAGGAAAATTACCTTGACTGACCCCTGTTATCCTCTTTATTTGATGACACAGTGCAACAAGGACTTTCTTATGTCGATAACAAATGCTTTTGTCTATGTATATCATTTGTCCAAACACCCTCTCATGTATTCTTAGCACAATCATCATCATCATCCTTATTGACTTGGGTTGTCCTCAGCAAAAAAAGAATAGTGTCAGCAGCATATGATAAGTGGTTCATATAATCAATTTAGGTTCCCCATCAACACTTCATCTGCTATTATAAATAGGGTAGGTAATAAGGGGTCGCCCTATTTAAAACCTCTAGATTATTGAAATTAGCCAAATCTTTTTCAATTCATTAGAACTGAGTACCAATTATTTCTTATTAGCCTTACTATCAGAGAATCCAAATCTTCTCAAGACCTGGATTAAGTATTTCCATGAAACTCTAGCCTATGTCTTTGCCATGTCAAATTTTACCGCTACATTATGCAAATTGTTCCTCTTGTTGATGTCCCTTATTATTTCTTGAGCTAGAAGTACATTTTAAGTAATACTCCTCCCTTTAACAAAGTCTGACTATTTATTAGAAATCAAACTAGGTAACACCAATAAAACTCTTTCATATATCAACCTTGACATAATTTTATTACCAAAAGTATTCAGGCTAATAATCCTTAAGTCACAAAATTATCCACCACATTCTTCTTTTGTATCAGCACTAGATTTGTACGTGTTTTGAATCTGGGCAAATCATATCCAATGATAAATGCCCTTACCATATTCCATACATCATGATTATGATAAAAAGTTAAGGACTCAAAATTGTGGTATTGTTGTATTGGGTGAGAATGATGAAGATAGTGAAAACCTTGATTACTATGGAGTTTTAACTAATGCGACTGAGTTGCAATTTTTCATGGATAGAAGGTGTAGCTTTATTTCGATGTAATTGGTTTTATGTGTATAATGAAATAAAAGTAGTTAGAAATAGTGAGTATGATATTGTGAGTGTTAATCCATGTATATTTCAAAAACAAATGAGCCATTTGTTTTAGTGGATCAAGCATCTGAAGTATTTTTTGTTTATGATAATTCCTACAAAGGTTGGCAAGTAGAGAGGAAGACTCAACCTCATGATTCTCATGAAATTGTGGAACAAATGGATGATGATATGTAGAGTTAGGAAGTTATTCCCAAAAGAAAAGAAAAAGAACTAATGAGTGAACTAAAATCTTTTATGAGTTAGTATATTCATCCTTAAATGTTTGGATGGAAAAATTTCCTTTTTAGTACATTATTAAACATTTTTTAGGTTTAATTTTTAACTTTTTTGGATCTTATTACAGGTTCAAGGTGAAAACATTGAATATTGAAAATGAGGTAGATTCTAATATGAAGAATACTATCATATATACGTTTCTCACGCTTGGTACTTTTCAAAAGGGACGAGGATGAGGGCCTAAATCTTTCAATGAGAAAGGAAATTTACTATCTAAAAGTATATTGTCTCAATCAAGTGATCTAGTTTAGAAGTACATCAAAGAAATTGAAACAAGTAAGATATTTTGTATTCTTTTATTTCAGACAATGAGAAAAAGTTATAATTGTGTTAAAGGAAAATATTTTTTCCAGCTTTCTGTATTCAGTATTTTATCTTGGAAGAGAAGCTGTGGAAAATATTTTTTTCCAACTTTCTGTTTCATGCATAATATAGGCATGTTAAGTGATATACGAAACTATACCATGATAAGAAGGTAAATACCAAGCCAAAAAAAGGAAAAGCTTAAGAAACTGATGCTTAATACATAATTTTCACAAAAGAGAACTTGTGAAACAAAATCAACTTAAGAAAATCCTTGTAGACATCTATGGTTCTTTTTCGTTGTCTTGTGATACATTAGTCAACGTATAAAGTATGATTTGCCTTTTTCATGTTTTACTGGGAAGGAATAGGAACAAGAACTTGAAAACTCTATTGTGTCTACTAGTCAAGGAATACGAATGATGAACAAGAACTTCACGACATTTGAGAAATAGAATATTCAAATTAATACTTCATCTCCTACATCTTCTAATCAAGTAAATAAATACACCCAAGAAGTTGAAACAGGTAAGATTTTTTCAAATGTATTGTTTTTTTTTTAAAATCAATTGTGTTTTCATGTTTTTGAGCTCAAAGATGTTTGTATTATTTGACATGTTTGACTTGGATGTAAAGGGCGGGAAAGATGGCAATCCACAAGATTTGGCAACTATTTTCTTTGAGACTCGTAAGAAAGATAACAAGCTTGTTGAACAAAAAGAAATTGAAAAACATGTGTGTTGGATTAATTGAATATGTAAATTACTTGAAATAATCCTTATGTCTTATGAAGTAAAATGTTCTTTGATATTTTTTGTAGGCTCAACTCAAAGAAATGGTTAAAGAAGATCCATCTCCGTCTACGGTAGAGATTTTTGAAAATTTTGTGGACCTGAAACTCGTAGCCATGTATTTGGATTTGGGGGTGGAGTAAAGGCAAAAGATTTGAAAGGTGGAACTTCATCAAAGTCTGAATTGTTGTATGTACTACGTTCAACTCGAGAGAATATCAAATCCTTGAACGAAGAAAACAACTCCTTAAATGATCTCTTTTCTACCATAGAAGATGAGATGAACAAAATAATGAAAATGAAAGAACTCTTCACCGCTCAACAATCATATGTCTCACCTACAACATCGCCCTCTTCAAATGAATAACCGCTGCCTTTTCAACTGACCAAGTAAGTAACAATATACCTGACTTTAAAATTTATTTTATTGAAATGTAACACCTTAATGAATGTGTGATTAAATAACAAAATATGGGTCTTTTGATGTGAAAAAGAAATATTCCCAATCATACAAGCAAACTTCAAGAAAAAATGGAATAACATACTTGGTTCCTATTGTGTTAATTTTTTCAGTAGAAAAAGATACAATATCAAAATGAATCTTGTTCTCATCTTGTTCATTGGAGTCACTGACTTTTTATTTCTTACAATTGATGCCTTCTTCCGTGTATATCTATCTATCTATCTATCTATCTCACACTCTCTCTCTCTCTATATATATATGTGTGTGTGTGTGTGTGTGTATGTATGTATAACATTCAGTGTGCCCTTGTTGTCTTAGGCTTGCATATTGTTTTCACCATTGACATTTCACTCTACAATAGTTGCAGTGTACTTCAATATGACAACAACTTAGAAGACACCATTTTATTTGCTACCATATTTTCAATAGCCCAGAATCATTTTTGTATTGAGATTTTTCTTGTTGAAAGTGGCTTTTCCAGAAGATGAGCAAAATTAGTTTATATTTATGTAGGAACTTGAGTTGTTTGAGCAATGTTGTCTATAGTTGTATGCAAAATTAGTGAATGTTCAAAGAATAGTTGGAGTTAAATTTGAACTCTTAATTTGTTTAAACAAAGTTGGTTAGGCGAGGAGACGAGCTAAGGTGACACGACTGTAGATCATTTTTGCAACCATAATTTTTTTTTTATGCTGGCTCTGTTTTTCATTTTATGCAAAACTGCATATATTTTATTTTTAAACTTTTGCGCTGCTACAACATTGCAGCCAACTGCTGTCTTTTTACGCTAGCTCTGGTTTAAAATTTTTGCACTGCTGAAAACTTGCAGCCAGCTGCTCAATTTATTTATGCTAGCTCAATCTTAAAATTTTGGCACCGAAGCAACATTACAGCCAGCTGCTTAATATTTTGTGCTCTCTGTTTTAAAATTTCTGCAGTGCTGAAAAATCGCAGTCAACTGCTCAGTTTTGTAGATTTCTCACGAAATATGGAGAAATCAAGGATGTATTGATAATTATAATGTTGAGTTACATGCTTCATGTCTAGGAGAAGAGTCCTATTCTTGTTAGATAGGAATCCTACTATAACACAAATAATTATGTGGGTAGTATTTTATTACAAGTATAATACCCTATCCTAGTCAACTCCAATAATATTCACTAGCTTAGTCGTACAAAACTTAGGATTTAGTAGTCTAGTCTTCTAATATGACTCTAACTCTATCTCGTCATCCTGCTTCGGTAAACGTGTTCCTTCAACGTGTTCCATTTCTCGTCAAGCTTCCTTCAACACTTTCCCTCAAGCTAGATAGTGGAGGAACAGTAACTCCTAGCTTGCTGCGACAATAAGAGCAAAACCTGTTATGTTAAGGCTTGTTTATTAATGTCAGCTAGCTGATCCTTAGACTTTACAAACTGGTAAGAATTCATCCCCTGGCCATTTTGTCATGAACAAAATGATAGTCAATTGCAACATTTGGTTCTAGCATGCATAACTGGATTAACTGTCATTAACAAGGCACTCATATTATCATAATACAATGTAGGAACAGGTCATAGGAACACTCTAAGGTCATGAACAAGATACAAAATCCAAGTCATTTTTGCGGCAGTGGAGGCTAGTACTTTATACTAAACTTCAGCACTCGATTGGGCTACTATATTTTGTTTCTTGGCGGTCTAAGAAATACAAGTTGCACCTAGGTAGATGCTACAACCTGTAGTTGATCTCCTAGTTGTGGTACAACCTCCCTAATCAACATCTGAGTAGCCATAAAACCTTCATGGTGATTGTGAAATAATTCTGAGTAAAAAGTGTAGAGTACTGTTGATGTACCTGAGAATTCTTTTTACCCCTTGAAGATGTTCAATGTTTGGGCTTCGCAAAAACTTACCTACTAAATTCACAACATGAGTTATAATAGGTCTTGTGAGGGTAAAATATTGAAGGCTCCCTACTATCATTCTGAAAAGGATGCATCTACAAAACTTCCCACAACTTCATGGAAACCATATTTTTTTGCCAAAAGAGTCGCTACAACTTTTGCCAAAGTCATCTCTGTCTTGGCCAACAACTCAGAAACATACTTGCTTTGATTTAGCTGAATTCCACCTTGGAAATACTTCACCTCAATTTTTAGGAAGAAGTGTAAAGGGCCAAGATCATTCATAGTAAACTCTTTCCGAAGTTGTAGAACCAACTCTAAGACATGAGATGGATTACTTCCTTTGACAATAACAGCATCCACATATAACAAGAGAAATAGTTTGCCTTTGTGAGTTTGCAAAGTAAATAAAGAAGGGTCGGCCTTATTACAAATGAAAACAAAGTGTAAGAGATTCATGTTAAACCTACCATACCAGGCTCTTGGTGCGTTTTTAAGACAATACAATGCCTTTTTAAGTAGACATACATGTTGAGGATACTGTGATCAATAAAACTAGGAGGTTAAGTCTCTCCTCTTGTAAGAAGCCATGGGGAAAGAAATTTTTTGACATCTAGTTGTCTAACTTCCCACTTTTAACTGACAGCAATGGAAAGAACCACTCTAAACTTGTTTGTTGTCAGCAAGCAGTCAATTGAATAATCAAGGCATTGGTTGCTTCCACCTGTGGCCTTCTTTGACCATATTGACACCTTAATATCAAGGAACCACCCCATTCCACAAGTACGTGGAGACATTGAGGGTTAGAAACCTCAATGGGAAAACTTTCACCGCGCCACACGATTCTTTCGCGAAGCTCTGATTCCTGTCTTTAAATGTCCTAGGTTCTATATCATTATAATAGATATGGATGGGCTGATCGTATTAGTTATTTCTCTCTTGATTTCCCGAAGACCCTATAGAAGATGAGCCCCGATAGTTTTAAGAATACTGAAATAGATATCGGTGGGCTTGGTAACTCAATAAAAATAGATCTTTATGAAATATCTAGGTTGTTAGGTCTAGGTATGATTCTACCGACATGCCATATGAGTCAAGCTTGTTATGGGTACTTTTTCTAGGTATCATATATAAAGAATGTTGTGGGTTTGGGGGAACAGGAAAAAAAACTCATTGTGCAGTGACGGTACCAATATCGACTAATTGTTGTTTCAAGATACGGTTGCCGATTGACATCTGTTCTAATTCGTCAATACGAAAAGAAAATTCTTGTGTGAATGAATCAATATATATAAACAAGCCAAGAAAAAGTTCTTGTTCCACTCCACCTGATCCTATATAACTGGCATGCATCCCAGCTCCCAAGACCCTTTTATAGAATTCCAACAATTTCTCCCACTCCTCAAAATCCCACAAGAACGGATTGATGCTCCTACATCCATAACATGAGTAGTTAAAGCAAGTGAATGATTTGAGATTCAAGTTATTTCACGGAATAACACTCGTATAAATTGAGATCATAATGGTACCTTGCAAGGATGGTCCCCTATATATTTCATTTTTTCTCAAGTGAAAAAAGGTACCCCCACCCCACGTAGTGAACCTCTCCTTGTGATCGGGATTAGATAGATGCCTCCAAGCCAGGGGGTAGATCGAATCGGAGTTTACTTAGGTAGCCACTGACGTATAGTTTTCCTTATGCTTCTGGGCTTGGTGGAGAAGAAGCAAATAAAAGTACTCTCGCTTGCTGTCTTGTTCTCTGTCGTGAACTAGGATCGCTCGCCACCTAAGTTAGATTGGAGCAAGATTTTATGAGAGGATTTTTCTCAGTTGTTGTCAAATCAATTCCTATTCATTCTTTAATGGAATAGGGAACGGGCAGAGCTGCGGCTATCAGGAATGAGCGATAACCTATTACTAAATGCCTGGACTATCGATGAATGACCAGGATTAGAATGTCAATCGACGAGATGATCCTACGAAAGATTTCAAGTTCAGACTTTGATGAGTGGCATCATCACTTACACATAGAAATTAAGTTTATGGAGTATCCAATGCCCTTGAGTTATTCTCTTTGTATCGCCTTCTCTCATCGTTAAAGGCGTTACAAGGCACTCGGAAATGAGTTGATATTAGGCATGCGGGGAAGACACTGACTATGCGCTGACAGTAGCCATGGAGACGGATTTTTTTGATTGAAGGAACGGGAAAAAAGAGAACCAGAACCATATCCTTCACACATTCAGTCTGATCTTCTCTACCTTTTTCCCGACTCCTTTGTCCTTTGCATTGCTCAATTTTCCTTTTCTGATTGAAAGTAGCAAACCACTCTAATATTGACATAGAGGCCAGATAGAAGGTTGCTCATCTAGCCCAGCGGATCCATTATTTTTGCGGCAGTGCAATGCAGCTGAAAAAGGGAAGCCTTTTTTTATTAGTAAGGTATAGTTTGGTTGGAGAAAACTCCAAAACTAGGGTTTCAAAAAGCTTACCTTATCTTTACACGCAGTACTAAATGTTTCTTCAAAATATGTCAATTCAAGCTACGAGAATCTCCTTTCCACAAGTCAGGCCTTGTATCTATCTATTGCCTCATGAAAACTTTTAATTTTGTCTTGAACACCCATTTTGAGCCAATCAAGTTTATACCAGGAGATTTGGGCACCAAAATCCATGTCTTGTTAGTATGTATAACATCAATTTCTTCGTGCATTTATGCAATCCAATGAGGTGATTTTAGTTCTTCCTTAGTAGTATTTGGTTCACTCATAATTTTTGTGCTGCAGCGAGAAACAAGTGTCACGACCGGAATCTAGACCTTAGACGAGACCGGCATCGTTGATCTCTTAGAGGTCGCAGACAAGCTTGCATACGTCATCCTTACTTCATCTAGGTTAATTTTAGCAGAAAATTTGAAACTTTTTGTTTCTTAACATACATGTATACATACTGCTTAACATCATAGGCATTCACAAATAAACCATCTAATAAAGAGATAATCAAATGAAAGAATCATATCATAATTTTATTAAACGTATTTTT